CTTTTCTTTTCTTTTCTTTTCTTTTCTTTTCTTTCCTTTTTTTGCAGGAACTCATGGGAGGAGTGGAGAAAGAGCACCACATTAGCAGTCAGGGGAAGTTTTACTTGCTTTCCGACATCCCGGAAGAAAAGGCAATTGTTTTAAAGAGATTCCAGAGCGATACAAGCCGCGGCTGATTATATGTTTGTTCATATTTCTCCGTCTTGCTTTTGTCAGCTCTGGTCAAATAGCACTTGTTGATTTTTGGAGTGTGCAAACACTCTGGAACGGAGGCGAACCATACCTATATTAAAGGCGCCCACCTCCAACTTTTCAGGGAGAAATTAGAAACGGTCTGCCACGTTTTCAGCTGGCTGCAAGACAAATGGCACCTTTTCCAAAACGGCTTGCAAGCAGATCCTTGAAAAGCAGATCTGCAAAAAGAAGGGGTTTTGCACGGTGGATTCCTCTGAATCAGCAGTTCCCAAAATGTGGTTTGGGGACCCCCGGGGGTCCCTGAGACCCCTTCAGGGCCTCTGCAAAGTCAAATAAATACTTTAACAGTTTTAATTTTGAATATAGTATATATTGAGAACTATAGCTGCAGTGACCGTATTTTCTTGGGGAAAAAAAGGGGCAAATCTGAAAGGGGGTCATTAAACATTTTAATTGCTTCAGTTTACAACTTGGCTTTACAAAGGAAAATTCAAGAGCAAAACCAAGAAAAAACTTTACAAAAATGCATATTCTAATCAAGGTATCTCAAATCAAACCGTATATGTAAATCTATTTAGAAAAGACCATTCCGTTTCCATATTTTTCACATGAATGGGAACGGCTGGGCATTCAAGAGTACCATTTGCACGGAGAAAGTTAAATGACCAAGCTAAAGGACAAGAGTGAGTTTTGTTTGAAAAATAAATACATTTAAAGGACAGCTTTCATCTAAAGGACATATGGTCACTGTAGATATAACCCCCATAAACCAAAGTTCTTTGGGGTCGTCAGTTATATTTAAGAATATAAAGGGGTTTTGAAACCAAAATGTTTGAGAACTGCTGCTCGAAAGCATTCTGGTGATGTTTTCAGACCATACCTACCTGTGTTTAGTTGAACTGTGGTTTATGGAATTAATCTCATTTTTGTAGCTGGCACCTCCATTAACCAGGCACGGGGAGACGGGCAAAATTCTGCTTGTTTGTACAAAGCCTGGGAAATACTGAGTGCTTTAATTTTATTTTTGAGGTGAGTTTTCCAAGAGACCTGCAGCTTTGGGATTACACGGGACAAGAACAAACCCCAAAAGTCACATAGGACCAAGGTGTTGGGTTCAGATTTTAAAAGCAAGAGGTAAACGTTGGTCCTTGCCTGTCTGCGGGAGCGTCGGAAGGCTGTTAGAAAGGAAATCAGAAGATCTCTGATAATAATGAGATATTGCTTCTAAATGGGAAATAATTTAGTTGCCGGAATTCTTGTGACTCCGTCCCTTTCGTCTCAATAAATCTTGTTAAAGAGTAATCCGTGAGAATCATGGAAAAGAATCCTTTTAGAAGCTCCATCTTTGCTAAACTTGTGAATTTTATAAGGAGAAGGGCAAATTGAAGTTCTGCAAAACTCTATTGTTTTGTTACACGACTGTGTATGTTGTGCTGGGTGAAACTGTGCCCATCCTAAGTTGATTGTTAGTTGGTCTAGCCAGATACTATCTCTTCTGGCTGGTGGAGATTCTCCAAAGCCCCCAAGCCTAACTCAATGGCTTGTGAGTCATTTTTAATTGGAAACACCCCTGTTTCTACTTTCCCATATTCCCGTGGACCTGTGTAAAAGGAAATGAGAAATTTTGGATAATAATATTACTGAGATTGAGCATTTATTGATAACAAAGGAGCCTTGTTTAAGGTTTAGTAGATAACCAATATAAACATGAATTCTGGGCCTGGTTGAATTGATTGTTTCACTGTGAGATTGAAGGGGTGTGAAGGAAATAAGGGTTTTGGGTGCTCTGTTGTCTTGGTGTTCGGATCAGCAGTACAGCAACCGTTTGTTTTAATCCCAAAGCAGATCAGTGAGTTTTCTTCTCAGGAGGGAACTTGATCCTTCAGAAGCCGCCCAAGTGAAATGTTCTGGGGGCATCAGGAGGAGCTTTTTTTCCATGGCAACTCTCAAAAATGTAATATTGTTTTCATTTGGATTTCTTTTAACCTTGGTTACGAGATGCCAAACATGACTTAAGCTCGGCTGAGGTTGGTTATGAAAAGCTTCAGGAAGGTAACATGGGTAGATCCAATCTGTGCAGTGGCTTGGTTCTTCCCATTTGCACACGAGGATGGAAAACATACCTCCTGATCTCATGGTTGCCATGATCTCTAGCATCAAAGCATTTCTGCCTTCTGTAGTGTTCAGGCAACAAGGCCAATTTGCATCTAATGATAAATCTAACTTCTATAACCATCCAAGCAATTTGTCTTCCCCTGTATAGATTTCACCCTGAGCGTCTCTTAAAATGTGGCTCATTTTAGTCGCCGTCTAAATCCTTTCTTCCTTATTTGTGCGGCCTTACTCTGAACTCACCTTGGCTGAATAATTAATGTGTGGCTCCCCATAAAAATAATTATGGCAACTTTTTTATGGGGACAGGATGTCCTTGGAGGATGGTCTTGAACCAAAATGAAACATGCAGCTCTCAGACTAACTTCTTTGGACAGCAAAGCACCTCTCTTAAAAACACGGTGGACGGGTAGGGGAGGTGTAAGATTACACGAGGGGGGGAGAGATGTTTTTCTCAGGTCCGTTCACTTGAGTGTAGAGAAGAGAACAGATTTCAAAGAATGCTTCTTTTGCATCAGAGGGAGGTATACAAGGAGTGCCTTCTCCAAAACTCAGTTGGGCACACAGGGAGAACGTTTGACGTAGTCAAGTGTAATAGGTGGCAAGGGGATTTTTCAGCTCCTGTGTTTCTCCAGACTCAGACAAAACCACACTGAGCTACAAGGGGAAGGTGGGAGAGGAAGAAAGGAGGAACACATGTAGGCCTTGAGTTACTTTTCATCTCTGACGGGCCGGATCTTCATTTCAGTGAACTTGAGCGAATACTGCCAACCTGTCCAGGAAGACCACTCGATCCCGTCCGCGTAGGAGCTGTGGTGGCCTTTGAGGTACTGCCCGTTCAGGTTGGACGTGTGGCAGTTGCGATACCACCAAGCACCATGGTAGAAGGCAGCGCAGTTGTTCTCTGAGTGGTCATTGTCCAGGTCTTTAGTGGTGAACTTCATGCCGTTGTGTTTCAAGAAAGAGTCTCCTGGGGAGGAGAAGCGTGTTAGATGGGTAGGATAAGTCAGAATGTGGTTTCATAGAACTGTAGAAGAAGCCACTGAGGTCATTGCTCCACATGAGGATGTGTCCAGCCTCATCTTGGAGGCACATCCAGTGAGGAGACCCCATCAACTTCTATGAGAATTGGCTCCACCATCAAACTACTGTTAATGCTAGAAAGTTATTTTCTACCATTCCACCAGATTCCTACTGGGTGATGCTGCGTCCCTTCACATCCTGTTTTGGCAAAGAACCATAATTCCATCGAATCATGAAAAGTTGGAAGGGACTGTTGTGGTCATGCAGTCCACCCTCCTGCTGAGGGCAGAAGAGCAAATTAAAACCTTCTTGCCAGATGGCAACCCAACCTCCCTTTGAGGAAGAACCCAACAGTTTCCTTTCCCATGTCCAGGAAAGGGGAGCTCACCACTTCCTTCACTGGAACTTTGGGGGACACCAAGAGTGTGAAAGCTCTCAGTCCCACCAGTCTCCTCATGGTCAACCTCCCAACTTCAAGTCAAGGGATCCAGCTTCCAAGTTCTGGACTTGCTCAGGGGTGGATCTTTTGCAAACTGCCAAATTGTCGGGGGTAAGGTGAAGGAAGGAGGCCATATCAGAAGCAGGTTTGGGGAAAACTGAGGGAATGAACAGAGTTGTGAGTCCAGGAGTGGTCAGCTGGCTGGTTTGAATAAGGCAGTTGAGATAAAATGCTGTCCCGTTTTTCTGTCGGAAAAGCAGAAATGCTTATTTCCAAATCAGCCCACTGACTGATGGCTTCCAAACATCCACACGGAGTGGATATTCTAACTGAAATGTTCTTTACCATGGGGTGAAATATCGATTTCTGACATGAAATTTCAATTCTGGGTGGATGTTTTGAAGTGGAAATTTGCTACTGTGGCAGACCAGGCTGTTTAATAATGCTGGGGATTTTCTCTCTCTCTCTCTCAATTTCTCTCTCTCTCTCTCAATTTCTCTCTCTCAATTTCTCTCTCTCTCTCTCTCTCTCCATATATATATATATATATTCTGAGCAGAGAGCAACTGGCTTTTCCTTTCTTTTTTCCATTAGAATAACATGAAAAATTGCACACAAAATAACCCATACATCATTACCAAAACACACAACCAACACATACTTAAAAAAACATACATACACAAACTAGAATTAGGCACAAATGGCCTTTGGAAATACTCCAGTTCACTTGTGGGTTGAAAAGCCTGGTGGATAATTTCTCTGCATTTTTTTTTCCAGGGGGATGAGAAACTCCCCCATCCTTTCTCAAAAGCGAGTTCCGCCTTAGGGGTGCCAGGAGCGCTGCAACTGAAAAAGCCCCATGGAGAGTCACATCTCATGTCCCCCCCTTTGGATGGAATGGAAGGGTAAGAAGCCAGGGAGGCTGCAGAGGGCTGGAGAGAGGACTGTGCATTCCCCATCTCTTTATCGTCCTGCAGCCTGCCTGGCTACCTACTCTTTCCCATCTGAAAAAGCCCCTGGGAGGAGTTCCCTTCTGAAGTCTTCCTTTGAGATCTGTAGGAAGCCATTCACATGCACCCCCTCACCCCAGCTTGCTAAATAAAGGCCAAATCAACTGCATTCCACCAGAATCTGTTTTCCTTCGAAGTCAACTTGAAAAGCAAATTCTATTGTATCAGGCTGCCTGCAAACCAGGAGAAGGAGAAGAAGAACACACATTTCTTCAAATGGATGTCTCCTTCTCCAAACCAGGAGAGAAGGAGAAGGAGAAGGAGAAGGAGAAGGAGGAGAAGGAGAAGGAGAGCACACATTTAAAAATGATGGGTATTTACCTGCTGTCCCAGAATAGTCAGCAATAGTGACTGGATAGCCATCTTCTTCAGGGTCAACTGAGAAGAGACCAACAGCAAAAGTCCCGTAATGAGCGTACGCTGTGCCATTATCGAAATCTTCAAGGTCAATGCGCAATTCATAGGTTCCTTGCGTGCTCAAAGCATGGATTCGCTTCAACCCTAGTGCAGAAAAGAGGAAGAAAATAATCAGCTTCATGTATCTTCTTCTCTGCTCCTTGACCAAGGATAGCAAGACTTTCAGTAAACCCTTAGTACACCCTTAGGGATGGGTTTAATTTCCTTATTCCATTTCCTTTGCTGTTTAACCCAAAGCAAAGATTTCCAGAAAAGCTTGCTGAGTAGAACATTCTCTGCAGTGGTTTAGAAGATCAGAGCCCCAGCACAAAAGGTAGAAGCCACGGGAAGGGAGAAGGAAAAAAGAAAAGCATAACTTAAAGAACTTTTTTTTTTAAAAAAAGTATTTGTACAGATCTCTTAGCAGTGTATCTTTTTCTCCCTATAACTCTCTCCACTCTCAGTATTTGGATCTAAAGGAGATGAATGCTAGCCAGAAGGGATGGGAAGGGAGACAAAAATGGAGAAAGTATAACTTGAAACACTTTTTAAAAAATGTAAGTGCCCCTGTTTGCACAGATCTTTTAGAAGTGTACTTTTTTCCTCCTCATAATTCTCCCCATGCTCAGTAACTAGATCTAGGGGAGATGAATGCTTTCCTGACTTTGAGGATGGGGTTCTAGCTGCTGTAAACTGGGGTGAAAGCAAAATACCTACTTCTGTTCCTAACTAAAGGCATGGCAGAATTCTTTTGTAGTATTATGGACAGTTTGCTGGCTTGTCGAGGGCTTGAACCATCTGCTGAGCCTTCAATACAGACTAATTACATAAATAAATAAATAAATAAATAAACAAACACCCACAGTCCAATTTTCCCCAGAGATGGACATACCTAGCCAGTGTTCTCCTGTGAGTTTTCCAAATCCATCTTTGTAAGCTTCCCAACCACGAAAGAAATTCACCGACCCGTCCTCACGCCTCTGAAAGACCTGGAGAGGCACACGTCGGTGCAGAATTAATGTGCGTGAGCAAAAAACCCCCCCACAAAACTGTGTGTGCTGATGGCTGAGCCCTGAGCCCCTGTCACTTCCAGCCCGGTTTCTCCCTTTCCCCGTAGCCGCATTCTAGGACAGCCACTTATGAGATTTGAGTGCAAAATGCAAATTAATTAAAGGGTTTTAAATTGGCTAATTACATTGGAAAGGCTCGGCATAAGGAAGTTCGCAAATGCTGCCTGTCAAGATTAATAGGCGGTTGAGATTGTATGGAGAAATACTCCATCACTGATGTGGAAAAAAATGATGGTCCAATTTACTGGTCTCTGCTTTAAGGCAGCTTTCCCCAACGCCGGGCCCTCCAGACGGGCTGCTTTCAATTGCTATCATTTCTCTCGCAAATCGAAAAGTCATCAGGTTGGAGAATGAATGGGTCCTAATTTGCATCTTTGCTCCTTCTTCATCTCACTGGCAGGAATGTGTTTGACCTTAGATCAGCAGGAAATGGATAAATCATTTTTGGTACGGGTTTGCAAGAGGGTGAGGCGGAAAGGGGACCCAGGACAGGCATTCTTGCTTATTGAGGTAGCGCGTGGATCACTTATTCTCGCTCTGGTCTGAGTTCTGCAAAGTTTGAGGGTTGGGCTTCTTTGAGACAGCCGAGATCCAGATCCTTCCTCTCTTTATTATTTATTTTTTTATTCTTAAAAAGGTAAAAAAGTAGGGAGAGGGCTTTAACCAAAAAGGGAACGAAACACCACCAGAAAAACCATGTTGATATGTCATTATAACCACCATTACAATTCTATATATGCGTATCTATTATTCTAGTACGTATGTCTTTCTAATACATTTACATGACTATCGTGTTTTTTTTTTATGTTGTTCAACCCACTGTATTTTGTATAAATGAGCCCCATGAGATTCAGATCCTTCCTCTAACAAGTTAGCAAAAGGAGGCAGGTGAAAATTCACTTGTATCCAAATTAATTTGGAAGCTGGAATCCCCCTCTCAAGGGGGACAAGTTAACATCTAGGCTGAATCTTGCAATTCCAGGGAGTCTGACAGCTCTTCGTGTTTCTTGGCCTCGTTGCAGTTCTTGGCAAACGTGGATACACTGAAAGATCGATTTTGCACCTCGGGGGTTACCAAGAAGCACCATCCCAACAGAGTTGATGGCTGTATTTGTATGCTTCAGGTTTCTAAAACAGTAGTTGTCTCTGTTAAAGAAAAGTCATACACCCATCAAACCTTACAGCTCCTTGGTTTCAAATGCAATGTGTCCCATTCCTCTGTGATGTATTACTCATTAGTGCGCTGTGGAGCGTGTCAGTGAATTGTCTTTGTGGTGCTCTGCTAAAGTTTCAAGGTTCTGCAAAGTGGGGGGTGCCAAGGGAAGACTTGCAAATCAACGTTTGCAACCAGAAACGGGACGGTTGCTATGAAACTCTGAAGGACTTGGCCTTCATCTCAGAACCATGAAACGCTTTCTTAAAGGGAAGCCTTACTCATCTGTTGAACTTCAGTGTTGGAGAAGACTCCTGAGAAATCCATTCTCGGCCAAGGAAACAAATCAATAGATCAACTCAGAGTTCTTGCTCGAGGCACAAATGACCAATCTCAAATGATCCTGCTTCAGACACATTATGCAAAGACTTAACTCTCTGGAGAAGGCTCTGATGCTGGGAAAGGAGGAAGGAGACCGGAGAAGAGGACAACCAGCAGCAAGGTGGATGGACTCAGTTACAGTGGCGATGGGTGCACCATTGGAGGACTTGAAGGACCAGGTTGGGGACAGATCATTCTGGAGAAGATCTATCTATGTGGTCCCTAAGAGTAAACACTGACTTGATATCAATCAATCAATCAATCAATCAATCAATCAATCAATC